ATATCACGAGGTCAAGTGAAAAAAAAATATTGATGGGTATTATTAACTATTAAGGCATAACTTAGATATTTCACCATATCACTGAAAAAGTGGGGGTTAGCATGAAATATGATTTTTTGGTTTGTTTTTGAAAACAGAATTATGAATTAATCTAAAGTCATGTCGGAATCAGAGATTGACAAGTGTATTTTTACTTTGAAAAAACCATCATTACTGATGAATCATCATCATTATATAACGCTAAGATTAGGTTATAAAGCTAATTAAAGTAAGTCTAAAAGTAGTCATCTCGTGTGAATTGCATTATCATGCAACTTCTTATCTTAGATGGCCATTATGGAAACAATTCGCTACTTTGTCATTTGATATGAACTTTTCGTGTATTACTTCTTGTTATTAATTGGTGTTTAGGGGATGGTCCGGATGGAACCTAATCTTCCTCTTCTGCCAACTGTCATTATGTAACAAAGGGATGATACGGGCAGGATATGCATAGGACAGGATATCTTCTTCTTCTAACATATAACATAAATTTAAAATTGATACAGAAGATAACACATCATGCTTGTTTTACTCCTATGCATATCCTGTGAAGTTTGGTTGCATTTATGCAAACCTGCCCTTGAGGAGATATATGTTTCCCAAATTCCAATCTATTGGACCACTTTGATCATCAGCTTACCATTAACAAAAATATAAATTAGAAAAGGATCAAGTAACTGAAATAGAAAATCAGTAGGATAGAGATGAATTAAAAACCTTGTCTTTGTTTCATTCACAACTTATGAAATAAAAATTCTTTCACGAGCTGATCCATGACTGATGAAAGTCAAGATGTTGACACATGGTTGTTTTTTGACAGGCCAAATTCTGCTATTTGACAGAAACTGAATAAAAGAAAAAATTGATTAGGTTTTATAACATCATGAAACTAAATATGCACGAACTAAGTTTTACTTACGGTGTGAATGAAGATTGAAGAGGAACAACTGATTACTAGTGAGTGCAATAGTATTAAAGTGACTAGACTTCGCTTCCTTCTCTCTTGCTGCCGAATCTTGTGTCAGACTGAAGTATTCTAAATATACGTGTGATTAGTATAATTTTTCTCATTCAGTGAAATAATAATTTTTGAAAAAGATGAAATAAGAAGTGTTAATAATTTATATATAATTCACCTTAATTGTTAACCTAGCTACTTGAATCAGAAGTCTTGGTCATCATGGATCGAATCATGTCATGTACTCTTCTCTTCTTTTTTTTTGTTTATCATGTAATCTTCTCATCATGTTGCATCTCATCGTTTTATTAGGAATATATCCCTAATACGTTTTCTTCTTTCTACACAAATCATCCACTTTGACAATCAATAGACAAGAGAAACACGTCCAAGGAATAGCATATCCTCTCAATCACACTACATTTCAAGTTAGCAAGAGCTGTTTCAAGTTACAGTCGTAAAGTCCATTGTTAGAGGGTTCTTCATCCATAGATATGGACCTTCTTCGTCTTCCTCTGAAAAGAGTTGCTATGACTACAAAACTAGTGAACTGAGAGCACGGATTTTCTTCATTTAACTAGAAAGTTTTCAAGAGAACAAACAAATACTTATTTACAAGCAGTTCTTTTAATGAAAAGGGTGCTTATGGCAAAACATGGAATTTTGTTCTAAGTCCTTGTAAAATGAAAATATTTCTACGCACAATGGTAGAGTTTTAGGAGACTTCTAGGCGAGCTTAAAGTGAGGAAAACATGTGATATCTCTGTTGAGTTAATTTCATCACTGAATGTCTCCAAAGAGAAAGCTCTTGCTGACTGAGATATGAGTTTGTTACACCTTCCAAAGAGAACCAGCATAGAAGAATTCAGGAGGATGCTCTACATGACAATTAGCTAGTCTTTGGACATCCTTAAATTCAACTCTGTACAACGAAAAATACGCAGCTGAGAGAAACCATTTACCAAACAGAAAAACCAAGAGTCACAGTTAAGCGAGAACAGAGCCAGAGAGTTGGTTATAAAGGTGTCCTTCTATCAATATGGTACAACTCTCGTTCTCCCGCTCAGTCTCCCTACTGAAGGTTCCTTTGGTGCTCATGATAAACAGAAAGACATTATCGCATAAATGCAAGCAGGCGTATAACACTAGAGTATGACTGCTTATGATAAATTTCTCCAATATTTTACTCATCAAAAAATACCCTAAGCCGCATTAAATGCAAATAAAACAAAGCATGAGCTACTACGTGTATGTACATGTTAATATCAAATTTCTTTGGTTTATTATTTTACTTGTATTAACAGATTCGGA